AGGCGATTTTGCCGCAGATAAAAACGAGAGTACAGTTTTTATTTCAAACGGAAGAGTTAATTAGCCCTGGGTTAGGGTTTTTGTTACTCTTGGAGTAAGCGGATTGCGATCCACTACACTCGTACTGGTTCTAGGTATAGAACAAAGAACGCCGACCATAACTCAGCTTCCTCCAAGCAATAGAGCTACAGCAGCTTCGCTGCACTTATTAGCACTTGTAGTTAATCCACACCCGAGTCGTGACCACTTACCCCCTGTGAGGATTGAGCAGTTCTCTTATTTGCCCCAGGGCATGCAGGACAAGCTTAATAAGCTGATGTATCTGCTTGGTCCTGAGGGCATGCAGCCCCTCGATTTTTAAAGACCTGAAGCGATCAGCGCGCCTAGAGGCGTTTCCAAGCTATGAAAATGCCGCCTGTAGCTGAAGGTGTCGGCGTCGACTATTTCCATGACGCCACCATCGGCGACGGATGACTCCTCTCGGTCTAAGCCGCTCATTGTGAGTGTTAAGGCCTTCGAGGGTAAGGATGGAGAGAATTTCCTTCTCTGGGTGAGAGAGGTCGAGATGGCTATGGCATTTGCCATGCTCCAAAACAAGCAACAGCGCGTGGCGCTAGCTATCTCCAAGCTCAGGGGCTGAGCGCGAGAATGAGCGCTAACGTTCGGTGCTTCTGTTTAAGCTGTGTTGCCATCCTCGAAGGAGCTACAGCATCAGCTTCTGCGAGTGTATTCGCCGCCAAAGCAGGCATATCACGTGCGATCGCGTTTCCTTGCCGCCCGACAAGGCAAGAAGGAATTGTTGAACTTTTTTCAACAGCTGTGTAGTCTCATTGCCGGTATGGCAGCCGATCCTCCTCCCGAGGCGGTCACAGTGACCGTTTTTATGGAAGGCTTCTGCTCTGGCGTTGCCAGAATGATATTTGTCCGTGTGCACCCGTCATCTTCTGAAGAAGCAGTGATTGTGGCTTTGAAAGCCGAATCAACTATAAGTCGGCACGACTTGGTTGGACTGAACACTCTAGCAGCCCTTCGAGCGGGCCTGAGTCGATGGATGTCAGCGATGCTGGGGACGAGAAGTAGATCTCCGAGCTACCGGGCAGCGTTTGAACACCCGATTGTGTTTTGTCCGTGGAGACACAAGCCACCTTCGGATTGGTTGTCCCCTGCGCAAGGCGCGTCAAGGTTCATCAAAACGACGCTACGCTTCTTACCAGTCTTCTGGCTCGTTGCGGGGAATCGACAACACCGGGTAGGCGCGGGGCGCTCTACTGGGGAAGAATTGAGCTCTGTTGGGCCCAGCCCCGAAGATCTCCGTGCTCTTGAACACGAGACGTGTTTGCTAGCTGGGCTTGTTGGCCGTGAAAACAACCGTGAAGGGCTTTGAAATGCCTTGAAAGATTCTGCTGGGCTCCGATGCGTCGAACAGTTATGTTCGACGCTCCACGATGGAAGAAAGTCAGCTGTATGCTGAAGTGCTGAAAGCGCGGGTGAGTGACATCGTCACTGTTCGTTCAGCGACGAAGACACGTGTAACGGTGCCGAAGGTCCCTGTGGACCGCTTTCTAAAGTTTCTTGATTTTGATAGCGTGGAATGTTGCTTGGTCATAGACCTGGATTCAAGGTATGATCTCATCCTGGTTATGGCATGGTTGGAACACCATGAGCCATGGATTGATGAAGACCCTGGGCGCTACACGCACGTCTTCTGGTGGGGCTTTGGTGAGTCATGAATCTACATCTGTTGGGAGGCAAAAACGCTATTGGCGCGGGCACTAGTCAACGAGCAGGCAAACGGAGTATCCGAGTTGGTGAACACTGAAGGTGTATCGGACAGGAATCCCGAGCATGGTTCGCGGGCTGAACGTGGAGTGGCATGTAACCCACTGAGCGCTGCTCCGGAGCAGTCGCTGCATGTCGCGAGTTGCATGGTCGTACAAGGTCCTAGACAACATGGGCAATGCCCTTCAGATTCGCGTGAAGTGGTACATTATCCACTAGGCAAAGACTGCGAAGCTAGCAGCTCTTCGTCGAATGTTCCTAATCAGGGATCCGATGGAGCAGAAAGTGGGGCTAACACTAGACGACGTTAAACGCGTGTTCACACTAGTCTCGCCGAGATGCACAACCAATGTGCATTGGCGATAGCAACGCCGGATGTCAATCCTGACCCGAATTGTGTCTACCGTGTAGGCGATAGCGCACAGCTATACACCCTTGTCAACGGTATGACGGGGGAGGGAGACGGCGACGTCACCCTTGAGGCTATTTCTGCGGTGGATACTCTCTTCTTGAGCTGGACAAAATTCCCTTCAAAGTGTTTGGTGGTGCCTCAAAGGCAGGCGATCTAGCCGAAGTGGTCATTATACGGCCGGAAGAAGAGATCAGCTCGTCGTAGCTCCTGAATGAAGCTGTCCTGGAGGACATTAAGAGAGTGCTGAGCGCACGAAGTGGATCTTTAATTTCAAAGAATCTCTCGGATCCGTACTATACTTTGGCGAAGGAATTTCAAGACGTCGTCCCCGAAAACCCATCATCGGTCCTACCTCTGGTCCAAGGTGTGCGTCATGAGACCGACCTGGTTGCGGGAACCAGATCACGCCAATGCCCCCCGCCTAAGGAGCAGTGCGACGTCATTGACGCCTTCTTCTGTGCAAAGCACGACGCAGGAATGATGCGTGAGAGCAAGTCTCCCCATTCGATACCCACGTCTTGTGTCCGGAAACCGAACGGCAAGTGGCCTATCGTTCACGCTTAGAATAAGCTCAACACTGCCACCTTTCTGATACAGACGCCCAAACCTAGGAAAAATGTTCTCCAAAACAATATGGCTGCCTGTACAAAATACAGCGCGCTCGACTTGGTCAATGGGTATCACCAATTGCTCATAAGAGCGAGTGATATTCCGCTGACAGTGGTGACAAGAGTGAGTACTCCGAGCGGGGTGCTCTGGGAGTGGCTTAGGGTGTATCAAGGGCTGTCAAATGCACCAGCAACATTTAATCGTCTTGTGACGCAGTTGTTTGGGCCCCACCGGTCGTATGCACAGACATACCTCGACGACATCTTCGTCCACAGTCGTACAATGCGCGGTAGGATGGATGAAAAGAACCACATCGTTCATTTGAGGCGGTGCTCGAGTGCATGTGCACGAATAAGCTGTATGCTAATGCCGATAAGTGCATCTTCAGCGCAAGAAATATTCCCTTTTTAGGGTGCTTCATTGGGAAGTGTGGCCTTTGAACGGATCCCGCTAAGGTCAAGGCCACTGTGAACTGGCCGGCTCCCTAGAATTAAAGGGACTTGCACAAGTGGCTTGGACTAGTCAACTACTTGCACAAGTATAGCGCAAATTATGCGAAAATGGCACGGCCATTGTCAAATCTCCTTAAGAAGGATACAGAATGGTGTTGGGACACCGAGTGTCGGAAGGCTTTTAAATGAGGCAAAGACAGCCGCCTTCATGCAGCAATACTGGCGTTGTCAGGCCCTGATCGTCCTTTCAGTATCGTCTGTGACGCATTGGGCTTTGCCATCAGGTGCGCACTGCTGCAAGCAGACGCCGAGGGACGAGATCGGATGATCGCGTTCAAATCTCGCCAGCTCAAGGCTGCAGAGAAGAACTACACTGTCCACGACAAGGTATTACTTTCGATGAAGTATGCACTTGTCAAGTTCAGGGCGCGCCTGCCTGGCTCCAAGCCGTTTGTGATCTACACAGATCATGCGTCCTTACGTACTGCGACTCAGACGCCTCACCTCTCGCAGAGGATGGCCAGTTGGCTCTCCTTCGTTGCAGAATATAACTTCGAGGCGAAGTATAAGCCAGGAAAGCAGAATGCTCTGGCTGATGCGTTGTCACGCAGATCAGATTATGAGCTCGCTCATGTCACGAGGGTAAAGTCGTCCGTGACGAATTTGATCCGCGCCGCATATGCGGGTGATGATATGTGTGAGCGCTGCTACAGGCTCTTGGGAGCAAGAAGTTTGGGAATTTGGGCAAGAAGTTGTCGTTGCGACTGCGTGCTCGCTTCCACCGATATCCATTAGACAATGTATTACTGTATCATAACATCGACTCAACGGATACGCCACGAATTTTGGTTTCTCCATTGAGAGTTTGAAGTACCGTATTCTCTATGAGGTCCACGATGCCCCACTTAGAGCTCATCTCGGTTGTAAAAAGACCTCCAGCTCGGTGAGATGCCACGGGTGGCTCAAGCTGCGAGCACCGATGTGCGCACGTGTGAGACGTGTGAGACGTTACGAAGGGTGAAAATCTCTCCGAATGCGGCGGCGCCGCTGGCCAGTTTGCCGGTACCCTACGGGTGTTTGTACTCCATGAGTCTGGACTTTGTGTTTGGCCTGCCGAAAGACTTGGTGGGCAACACGGGTGTGGTGGTCTTTGTGGACCGTCTGAGCAAGATGGTTCATTTCGCGGCAGTGCCGGACATCATCGACGGTTGTTGGTACAGCAACGCGGTTTGTGGATCATCCCGTTCGACCACATGGACTCTCAGAGTCAATTGTCTCTGATAGAGACCCGTGCTTCACTGGTAAGTTTTGGTCTACAATCTTTTGGGTGCTGGACATTAAGTTGGGTATGCCAACAGCGGACCATCCGCAGACCGATGGTCAGACTAAGCGTGAGAATTGCGTCATTGAAGACGTTCTTTGCAGCTTCTGTGCTGAGAACTTCGAGGCCATGCTACCACTTTTAAAATTTGCTATGAACAATGCAGTGCATTAATTTAATGGCTACACGCCGTTCTACGTGAACGAGCTAATTAATCCTCGCGTCCCGCTGATGCCGCCATTCCATGATTCAGGGCTTGTTGGGGGAAGAATAGCCGAGCGGCTAGCTGATGTCAGCCATCTCACTGTGCGTAAGGAAGTCGATGACTTCCTGTCTACCAGACTGAGTGTCTTACGACACGTTCGTGATACGATGGCTGAAAGCCACGACATGCAGAAGGAATATGCTGACGGAATAGGTGAAGGAAATGTTGGAAACTGTCGGAGACCCGGCTTTATTAATTACTAAGATGCTTCCTACTCATGCATTTTATGCTGTTTATAAGAACGAAGCTCCGTCCACGGTCTATCAAACCTTTCAGAACTGTTTTAAAGCGGGGCCTTGCGCTAACGCAAAACTTCCCAAAACGGATTGGCACTCACCCGGTGTTTTATTTGGGTTTGCTCAAGCCGTACCGGAATTTGGCACGAGTGGACGTGGAGGCGTTGGCGCCGGAGCGGCGCCAACGGATGATCGATTACCCAGAAGCTGGACTAAAACTGGGTTTGAGCACGGAGTGCAACGATCTCCATCTCAAACGGCGCCAGTCATTCCACCGTCGCACGAAGCAATGCATTGGTCTTATCGACGGCTAGAAGACGCCCCGACAGAGTGCGATAGTCCGCAACGTGAGGTAGCCGGTGCACAACGTGATCCAAGCTATTTAGGCCTTCCACGCAGCGGTATGCAATCCCAACATGATGCTCAGCGGAGTCCCGATCGCGACGAACTTCGTATCCAAGAGCTCGAAGAGCATCGCGAGTCACCAGACCGCGATCTACCAAATCGTCATCGTCTGCCGCCGACAGATCTCAACGAAAATGGTGGTGTCTACAAGCACGTGGAGCGTTTTGTGGGTAGACGTCGTCGCCAGGGTCAAACCCAGTATAATGTGAGTTGACGGGATACCCTCGACTTTGACAACTCGCGGAAGTTTAAAAAATAATTCGTCAAGACTAGTCAGACGTCGTGAGTGCTTATGATCATAGAAATTATCACCTTCCGCGTCGTCGTACGCCCGGCGCATCTCGGCAATAGCCACGGCAGCCGAAGAGCCATGATCTGAGCTCAAGCTATGATCTTGAGCTGCTGCGGTCGCAGACTCGTCCTCAGAGCTTGCAGGAGCGTGATGGATCATCCTATACGTTGTAGGGCGACAATCCGAAGGAAGTCGGTGACGCGCCTTGAGTTTGGCAACCTCAAACCAAAGATAGCGTTCCATACACGCGTCCACCTCCCTGTGGCTCAACTAGAAGCTGTACAGCGAGAGCGTTTTTGGTGCCGCTGCACCCATCGCTTAAAGATATCTTCATCATATGCAGCGATTTTGCCAGAAGCGAGCGCCACAGGAATCGTCCGCATCGCGGGTACAGGAGCGCCTCCTCTTTCAGCACAGATTCGAGTGTGGTACGTATCCACCAGGTTTTCTTGCGGAATCAAGAAGCGAGCTTGGAGATCTTTTCGTTCGTCACGCTCAGCTTGTGTGGTGTTTGGAGAGCCGACCACAAAGACGCCCAACGATCGAGTGATCGCGTCCTTTTTCTGCAGCAGCGGGATCCGCCGAGCGGAGGCCATATTCTACAGGATGGTCAAGGAATGACAGTGTGAGAGTTGCCCTGTGGGCAGCATCCAGCTGCCGCTTCTGTGCCTCATCGAGGTGATTGATAGTGATACCACTTGCGTTGTAAGTCGAGAATTTGGGGATCGAACAAGCAGGGCTCACGTCGCACCGCTGGTGCACTTCGCCCTCTTCATCTTCCCATCCTGGAAAAGGAGTATCCGACTTGCAGTCGAATTCCTCTGAACCCTCAACGGGGAATTTGCTGCACTCGAACACTGAGAGCTTTGGCTGCACTTTGGAGTTGAACCGCGTGCAGGAGACAAATAAGGGCTCTGCCCGCGGGCGTTCTAGGAACCAGCGAGGATGGGTGTTTTCCGTGTCCTCGTCACAGGGCTTATTACGAAGACATATCAAAGAAAGTACTGGTGATTTTGTGGTGTCTTACACGAGCCTCGTACGAGGCGGCAATTAAATGTGAGTTGTAGATTTTACAATTTTGATGGAGTGTGTGACGGGTTACACTTATCGTGATATGAAGGGGTGGGTCACACAAGATGATGTGACCGCACAAATGTGTGGCTACACTTAAACAACAAGTCAGTACGTGGCTAGGACAGCCAGTTGTTATACATTTTTGGGGGTTACTCGTTAGAAAGAAAACATTGAGTTCAAAAATATAGGCTGCTTTGCCACATATATACCCGAACGAGAAATGTAGCTTACATTTCAAACGGGAGAGTTAATTAGCTTTGGGTTAAGGTTGTTGTTACTCTTGGAGTAAGCAGATTGCGATCCACTACACTCGTTCTGGCTCTAAGCATAGAACGAAGGTCGCCGACCTTTACTCAGCTTCCTCTAAGCGAAAGAGCTACAGCAGCCCCGCTGCACGGAATGTGGCGAGATAAGCACAACCATTTTTTAGCTTAGATCTTACATTTTTGTACATTAATGTAAAAAAAACATCGTACAATTGTACAAACTCGCGTTGCATTTCTCTTTAATTGTAATCACTTATAAATACCAGAGCATCTGTATTTTTAGAAATGATGGAACTTCATGAACGAGAGTTGCACGGTACAGGTCAGCTGTAATCTGTGCATCAATTAACTATTCATGATGAGATATACGCAAACAAATATATTTAGTATCTGTCTGAAGAAGTCATTCCTGATTATACGTCAACTTTGTAGCAACAATGAAAAGTAGACTAGTATCTCACGTACCCGTCGGATAGATGTCTTTCTGAGTGTACTGTATCGTCCGAGAGGTTGGGACATAAAACATTCGAGAGCCTTTCTCTGGGACAAATACACTAGCTTAAGAAACTCATATATATGTTGCGGGTTCTTATGGAATCAGAAAAATTGGCGGTCAAAGAACTGGAAGCGGTAATTTCTCGCCTGGAGGCGTTTACCAGCTTTGAGAACCCGTTAATGTGACACATTTAAGAGCGCTTCAACCTGGCACCGGTGGAAAAACAGATCGTACCCATTGCGAAGCCGGTAAAGCCAAGCCGCCTGGCCGGTACGAGAAATTTTTCCTCTCTGGGGAGAAGTTAAAATAGCCACGAAATTAACCATGTTATATACGGAACAATCTCGCGTCGCACTTGCGGTCGCGTAGCTGGGAAGCATCAAATAAGTAGACGTACTAAAGCGTAGTACCTCTGTAAAAACGTGCTCCGATCAGGGTAAATATGAAGCGACAGATGACGTGGATGTTCTCAGCGCCTGACCAGGAGAGTTGGGTGCGTTTGCAGTTTCTGTTCACCCGCTAAGGGATATAAGAGAAGGCGGACTATACATAGGAGTTAACGCAATGGAGTCAGATATTCCCCGGGGAAAGTGATGGTTCTTAACCTCATGAAGGGTTTTCAAGCAGGTGTGGCTCTTTCCAATATCTGCTGTGTTCCTACCTCTATCGATGAAGCGGTGAGTGTCGCATCCAATGTGGAACTTTTTGCCGCAGGGGTAGAATTCGGTGCAAAGAATAGAAGTTCTACTGAAGGTGCGAAGGCGAAATACCCCAGTCATGCTGAATTAGAATCAAGAGATCTCTTAGCTGATAAGCGCGGTAATCGCACATGGTTGGGGAAACCGTACCCCCTCCCCTTCACGAGGGATGTTCATTGGGTACTAGAAGCTGGCGAATGCGCCGCTTAGCACGAGTCTCATTTTGCACATTCGATGAGGATATTACGCCGTTTCTCGTATTCAAGGCTTCACAAGTAAGCCTCAGCGATACAGACATCTGTCTAAAGAGTCGCATCATGCTTGACATTGCGAGGAACAAAGTACAACGCGGACATCGAGGTGGCAACCCATCACCTCAAGCTCCTACTAGTTTTAGTTTCGCTCGTCTCCATGAGACAATTGTATATACTACTGACCAAGAGTCTATTTACTGCAAGGTCAATCGCCACCTACATGTGGAAAGTGCGCTGCGACAGGTGGCCCTGCCTCCTCTTTTAAAAATATTAATGCTGAGAGTACCTTCGGTCGTAAGCGGTCACGACGCTTGGGAACTCTTGCCGAAATAAAATCTTATGCACCCAAGCGCATCCCAAATGAGAGTATCTCTGTCACCTTACCAGAAACTGGTAGTAACCCTAGTGTACCCACCGGCCAACCAAACGTCCCACGGAAAAGTAGCTCCTTGTCCAAGGCGCCGTGCCTGTTGAGGTTGAATCTGCCTCGTCCGGCACTTGCAAGCTCTCTCAGTCGTGGCAGCACGCTGACAATCTCGAGGGTTATGGGGTGAGGCTGAGATGAGCCAGATTTTGGCTTTGCTCTCAGAGCTTCGCCATCGCGCTTCAAGACTTGAAGCACCCCTAGCGGCTCAAATTTGCATCGCTGCATTTAAGTGGCGGGTAGCTCAGCTGGAAGACATGGAAAAGACTCAAATCCGTCCACAACAGAGTTTGTGAAGTCTGATTGGCTCGTACGAGCGGGATTGAGGTATGACTTATATAACGCCACTAAGAGCAAAGAAAGTTTTCACAGCAAAAACTATTGTAGGAATGCTAAGAATTTTGCGCAGATTTTTCTTTGCTACGACCGTTAGCGGTTCGATGTAGCGCGGTTGTAATTTAATCTCTCAACCGCAGGCACTATGTGTAGATAGGTCAATTGCATTCATCAGAACTTTTTTCGCCCGCCTCTGGTATCGGTGATCCTCCACGACGCGATTCACGCATTCCGTTCGACCATCTGTTCGCAAATTGCCAGCGGCGACATATCCGATCTGGTTTCGAGTATGTTGAATAAAAATGGCCAAAACTTTCGCTGTATGAGCTTACTTCTACAATACAATTGCTGCCGGCAAGCCATGCTGGCGAAACACTTTGTCTCAGAACAATTTGGCTGTATCCTCACCGGTCTCATCATCGCTGACAGCAATGAACTAGCCATCTTGCTACAACTCCCTACAAAGTCCACAATACCGGTACTACCAGATGCATCGCTAGTAAGACTAAAAATAAAGGGCATACTGATAGACTGCTGACGCTCTGCCGGAACGAACAGGTTCCCCACATGCGTCGAAGATTCAGCCCGCTGCCACGCTTATAATGTGCGTACACATGTGTTTACCCATCTATACATTTTGGACCACCAATACTGAGCGCTGATCGAGCAGTTTATCTTTTCTCTTCCGAGGTGGCCAACCAAAGAGGTATCATGTACCTCGTACAGGATTCTGTATTTGTCATCCACATTGTGAGGTACTATTACCCGCGGAGTGTCCGGTAAAAGTGCTTTGAATAACAAGCCCTGGAGTGAGGCATGCCAATGCAGACATACATCCGCACGCTTCAGTAAAGTGGCATCCGACATCTCAATATTTTTTACTTATGGTTTAGCACCGTAACACATGTTGCGTCTGGCGCATGCGCTGTACGTATCGCTTCATCAATTGGCGACATTGTATAATTGGGACAATGCAAAAGCGCATCTGCCACCACAATAAGCCAGACCATCTGATAAATTACCTCAAATGTATGCTTGGCAGAGAAGAATGACCACCGTGCCACTCTCTGCGAGAGATGTCGTGATCACGTCGCTATCCGCAATGTTACATAATCTGCGTAGATCACAAACGGCTTTAGGCCAAGCATTTGCGGTTTGAGCTTGGCGAGTGCATTTTTCGCTGCGATTAGCCTCTTGGCATGTGTAAATTGTGTAGATTGTCTCCCAAGCAGCTGTTAGCTGATGGATTTTTATCAAGATCATGCGTTGATATCTATCAGAAGCAAAGTGCAAATTATTGCAAAGGCTGAAGTACGTGGGGTGGTCAATCAAAATCTAAAAGAGCCAAAATTAAGACTCGTATGGGCTTTCTTACCCTAACCTTAAAATTTTCGCCTTTCGCCGCACACTACGCCATCTGACATTATTTTTTGTCGGCATAGTTTGCATTGTACTTGAGCAAGTAGTTGGTCTCTCGTGATGCTATGGCAATTTTTGATCCCACATCTGCCAGGAAATAGGACCGCATTGAAAATTTACACAAAGCTGCAATAGTTTTCGTGCAAGGTATGTCCATTTTTATATCAATATTTTTATTTTTCGTGAGTGGAGAATGAAAAGGAGACTGTTTTCGTGAGTGGAAAAATGG